AGCCTTTAGCTCCCCTTGGAAGGATGGGGGGTGGGCTGGTTCAAGAGGGGCAGTGGGGGCCCATGGTTGAGCATCAACCTATGAACCAAGAGGTCATGGTTTGATTCCGGGTCAGGGCACATGCCCAGGTTGTAGGCTGGATCCCCAGTGTAGGGCATGCAGGAGGCAGCTGGTCAATGATGCCATCTCGTCACTGATGTTTCTCTCTCTCTCCCTTTCCTTTCCACTCTGAAATCAATAAAAATATATATTTTTTAAAGAGGGCAGTGGGGCTCTTCCTCTGCCCTCGAGTCCTTCAGGGCCTGGGGACAGCAAGTGGAGCTCCTCTAGGGCAGGTAAGGCTTAGCCACTAGGAGTTAGGGCAGCCGTGGGCAAACTACGGCCTGCAGGCCAGATCTGGCCCTTTTGAAATGAATAAAACTATTGGAAAAAAAAGACCGTACTCTTTTATGTAATGATGTTTACTTTGAATTTATATTAGTTCACACAAACACTCCATCCATGCTTTTGTTCCGGCCCTCCAGTCCAGGTTAAGAACCCATTGTGGCCCTCGAGTCAAAAAGTTTGCCTACTTGAGTTCAAGTCTTGGCTTTGTCACTCACTTAGCTGGATCATCTTGGACAAGTCACTTAAGCTCCTTGAGTCTCACTTTTCCCATCAATAAAGTGGGAATAACAATATTAGCACCAAGGGGTTGTTACGAAGATTGAGTAAAGTAGTGTATATGAAATATCCGTAAAATCAACATTCAGTGAATGGATCCCCTAAATCCGCAATACCCTGTACCTGCATTTCACTCCCTTCAAGGCCAGTCTCACCTTGGACCCCTAGGTTAGTGTAGTGACAAAGAGCAAAGGCTTTGGAGTTAAACTACAGTGTCTTCAAATACTGGCTCCACCACTTACTAGTTACCTGACTTCGAGTAATTACATACATACACATTTCTGAAAATAAGAATGATCTAGCCTGGCCGGCATGGCTCAGTGGTTGAACATTGACCTATGAACCAGGAGGTCGTGGTTCCATTCCCGGTCAGGGCACATGCCCGGTTGCAGACTTGATCGCCAGTGTTGGGCGTGCAGGAGGCAGCTGATTAATGATTCTCTCTCATCACTGACATTTCTCTCTTTCAATCTCCCTTTCTCCCTTCCTCTCTGAAATCAATAAAAAAATATATTTAAAAAACAAAGTTAAAGGAGGTTTTTAAAGGGAAAATAGGGCACTGATCACTATAGTCTCAGTGAGATCCAACACCTTCCCCCCCCCCCACACCCCGCCAAGTCAGGAAATTCAGGATGAGGTATGAGGTTTCCGAGCTGGGGAAAAGAAGTAGCTCTCCCACCTCCTTCACAATAGAGGCTACCTTAGCTTCTCACACAACTTCAGCCTCATTCTATACTATTCAGCCAACAACACAATCAAGTGGGAAGGAACTGCCTCTCCTCTAGACCCAGCCAAGACTCCTCCTCTAGGAAGGCCCTAAATAAAGGAATTCTATAGCATTTGATATGTAGGCTTCACCTTTTCCTATAACTTCACAGTTACCAATATAGCATTTGTATACCATTGCCTCTGGGACCTGCCAGGGATAGCGTCAGAAAGAGCCCAGGCAGTGGCCCTCACAAAGGGACAGCCAACTTGACTGTGGGAACCGACAAGGCAACTTCCTGACTTCCTGTGCTAAAGAAACCCCACCATCAGTTCAACCTAAGTGCAGGGGTGTGGGGAGAAAGTTAAGAGATTTAAGTTTAACACAAAGCCCAACAACCACCCCCATATCAGCTTGACTATTAATAGTAAGCCCTCTGTATGCCTAAAATGGAGAGACCATTGGTCAAATGATTCCAAAATGGCACCAAAAAACTTCTAAAAATCATTGCTGGTTCTCAACTCACAAGATAATGGGATCAGCAGTGCAATTTCTCCTAAAGTTAACCCTAACACATGGTCAGTTTTCAACAAGTATTTATTGAATGTTAAATGAAAGAAAGGCTCATTTCAGTCAAGTGACACTTGGAGTTACTCAAAACTCTTTATCTGTCTGTACCTGGGTTACGCCAGAAAGCTCTCTGACAGGGATTCCGGGCACCTGGGGTTCTGGTCTTAGCTCTACCAGTAGCTGTCTATGTGACCTGTGGTAAATCAGTACTTAATTTGATGAGAGAGAGAGAGAGTGCAAGTGGCACCGCTACATGATCAGTATGTTCCTTTCAGGGATATCATCCAACAGATGCTGGATTTTATGGCAAATAATCATCATGTCTGAATCTGAGTAAAAAAGCACAATGCTTTTGGTCATGTTGGAAGAGCCACGTAGCTGTAAATGGACAGGGGCAGCAGGCTTGAAGAAAGTGAAGGGGGCCCTGGCCAGTGTTTCTCATTGGTTGGAGTGTCGGCCTATGAACTGAAAGTCGAGGGTTCAATTCCCAGTCAAGGGCACATACCTAGGTTGCAGCTTCAATCCCCAGGCCCTGATCATGTAGCTGTAGTAGGCAACCAATTGATGTTTCTCTCTCATATTGATCTCTCTCTCTCTCTTTCCTTCCCTCCCTTTCTTCCACTCTCTCTAAAATCAACGGAAGAAAATATCCTCAGGTGAGGATTAACAACAACAAAAAGAGCCAGGCTGAGGTGGCTCAGTGGTTGTGCGTCGACCTATGAACCAGGAGGTCATGGTTTGATTGCTGGTGAGGGCACATGCCCGGGTTGCAGGCTCAATCCCCAGTGTGGGGTGTGCAAGAGGAGCTGATCAATGATTCTCTCTCATCATTGACGTTTCTATCTCTCTCTCTCCCTCCCCCTTCCTCTCTGAAAGTAATAAAAAATATATTTTAAAAAGAAATGAAAAGGCATGGAATGTCAGGGAAGTAATTCCACTCCAGGTTCCAGAGTTATAAAACCACTTCTAAATCATGGCCCCCTCATTTCCTGGCCCATGGTGGAGTGTGAGCTATCAAACTCACAATTTATGAACTGAGTAGCAAATTCCCTAATACCAGAAGGAAAATAAACACAGGATTTGGACAGCTAAGTCACAGAATAAAAATGGCAAGAAAGAAGGCAAAGGTAGATGTGGAAAAATGTTTAAACTCATTATTAACAAAAGGAATAGAAATCAAGTGATACTGAGATACCAGTTTACAATGATAAAATTATGGAGTGTTTAAATGAGATGTGTTTAAATGTTTAAATGAGACATGAAGCAAGCTCTCTGAGACACTACTTGGCAGGACAAACTGGGACAGCCTTTGTGTGAAGCAATTTGGCCATATTTGCCAAAAGTCTTTCAAAGAACACTCCCTTTGACTCAGTAATTTCACTCCTCGGAATCTATCCTAAGGAAATAATCACAGATATGTTCACAGATTTTTTTAAAAAGCTCACCGTGGCATTATTTATAATAATGACAAATGGGAAACTCTTAAATTTCTTGACAATAGGGGAAGAGTTATGTACATATTATGGAGTCATGAAGAAATAATTTCTAATGATATGAAAAATGCTAATTTAAAAAAGCAGGATTGTAAAACTATATTCACAGTTGAATTCCAGTTATGTTTAAAAGTATACATGCACAAAAAGGACTACAAAGAAATACACCAAAACACTGACAATGATTATTATACCTTAGTAATGAGGTTATGGATGATTTTTTAAAATCTTCTTACTTGGTTATACTTTCTCAATTTTCAATAATGGACATGAGTTACTTTTAAAATTAAAAAGCACATTACAGGTATGAAGGGAGGAAGAGATTTGTTTATTTTCTAAGTTTTCCAAATATTTAGAAGTAGAACAGGACATTTGAGAGTCCAATGGTTCTCAACCCTGTCAGCTCCAAACCTCCCTGGATATATACAATGTTTTGTAATAAACCCTTTGCCACCCTGAAAGAAATTTCATAGTTATTATAACCTGCATATACACATAATTTCCAGAAGAGCAGTATAATACACTAACTATAATATAAAGGAGAAATAAAGGGAAAGCAGTTTATAATAAAATAATATGTATTTCAATATGTAAATGCCTGGGCAATACTATACTTGAAGTCAGATGCTTCCACTTATATATGTAGATTCACTGTGGATTCAACTGCTACAAAGGAAGATGAATACAGGTACATTATAATGGCAACTTAAAAATCCATAATGGCATTGCTATTGGTGACACAATTTTCAAAAGTGACAAACGTTATTAAAGTTTTGAACAAAATAAAGTACTATCTTCCCTGAATTTACACAATGGTTGCATTCCTGGAAATTCACTGTATATATTAAAACTGTAAAAACATGTTTTGTGTTCATTTGTAAAATAATTAGGCCCAGTTAATTACACTAGGTTTTTCCACTTCCATTGATGTTCTATATGCCATTCGAAAGTTTACAGATACAGATTTTTAGTTCCCATTCTCCTTTCATATTTATTTGAAACATGAAATTTACAATGACTATCTTTTTTGCAAGTTGGGCTTGCATCTTTTAAAGGTAATGAGAGTCACAATTTTAGCCTTTGATACTATTTCTAAAACCTATCACCTAAGAACAGCAAGCGATGGATAAAATGTATTCTCAAAACTGACACAAATGTTTTTTGAATTATTAGAAACATTGCTCTTCTTTAATAGCACCAAAGCACAAGAACAAATTATCATTTTTTAAAAACTATTTACTGTGATCCCTTGGTGATTCTCCCTAGCCTGGCCCCAGCCTCAGGAGTATAAAATAAACTGAGCTGGAAAAAAAAGGACTAACAGGGCCAGGCCACAGAGAGAGGGATGGGGTTGCTAGGTTACCACTTGAGCCAATCCAAGTGGTCCCAGAGGGGTACCAGACACTAGACAGGCTCCTCTCTCTGCCCCACTAGGCTGAAAGCCCTCTCAAAGGAAGAGGGTCAAAAGGTGGGGGAGGGGGCCAGCCACTCATGCTAGGCACAAGTAAAGAAATGAGACAGAAGCACAAAGAAGCACACATCCCTGTATTTCTAAAACCATTCAAGTCTTCTTCATTAATTGGCTTTCCCCGAAAAGAAAGGGTTCTTTATTAAGAAATACCAGAGAGTGAAAAAACCACCACACATACATATTTGTAGGTTCACACACAAATGCAGAGATTTACATATTAAATTGCATTTAAGTTAGAAAATAGATTTAAAAACAAAATACTTTTTCTTTCCCCAAAAAGGTAAAGCAATTTGGTCAGTAGGAAAAGGGCCCTTGGGATAAAGGCAGGTAGGTTAGCACAGGAAGAATGGAATTTAGCTGCTATAGAATTAGAGCCCACCACTTGCCCCTGGGGAAACAAGCAAAGGGAGAGCGTATGCCTTCTGCTAGGGCAAGGAGGGCCCCAGAGCCAAATGGACATGAAGAAATGGCCCCAAATAGCCAAACCCCACCAACCCCCAAAGCTTTTGGACCTGGACCAACCATCCTCACATGGGGAAGTGGGGTGCATAGGAAACTGAAGGCATGCAAAGGAAAGGAAGAGAGGGAAATAATGCAAGCCATTTAAAAAGACCAATTCTTCAATCTCCCCTCTGATCAGAACTCAAATGAAGGACAGTCCCAGATGGTGCATGGTACGAATGGAATAGATCTTCAGGCCAAGGTCTTAAATACAGAAGATTTATATAGGTAAAGAAAGAGGGCAGGAAGCATGAAAAAGCAGAAAGCTAAAATATATTATTTTATACAAGAGATAGGAGATTTCCATGTTGACCCTTCACCTTAGAAAGAGAAAGCTCCTCTGACTGACATAAGGGTCAGCAGAAGAGTGGTTGAGGTAAGTTAAGGGAGGAGAGAAATCCGTCCTAGTCCGGGAGAGAAGATGGGCTGAGACAGGGTGGGCTCAGAACTGACTCAAAAGAGATTCATCTGAGTGGTAGGTTAACTGGAAAAATCTAATAGCTTCCAAACTCTCCAGGGTTGGCGTTTTTTTGAACTAACTAAAATGTAACTATAAGGACAGAGAGAGCCAGAAAGAGAATGGTAAAGTAGAGGCAGAGAAGAGAAGAGCCCGAGTCTCTCTCTCTCTCTCTCTCTCTCTCTCTCTCTCTCTCTCTCTCTCTCTCTCTCTCTCCCCCCCTCCCTCCCTCTCAACTCAAATCCTGGTATAAGGAAAATAGAAAGACATAGAGAAAAATCTGGAAGCAGCCAAATTTCATTCATTCTGATTAACTGGAAAGAGTAAGATAGGAATTGGCAAGGAGTCTTGATTATAGACCACTTAAAATGAAATATATACCATCACTTGCAAAAGATCACTAACGAAGTATTTCCCAGGAGAGGTGCTGATGTGCCTCCTTTAATAACCAAGGCTCATTTACAATTAACGGCATTCATCTGCATTAACACAACATCTCAATAAAGAACTTGCTCTCTTAAGTGAATATACCCCCAACCCTCCCCATCTTGCTAACATTGTATAATGCCTTGAAAGCCCTTTCTTTAGAGTCCAGAATAAGGTGAGCTTTGGCCCAGAATGTAGTAGAAATCAATGGAGAGTTTGGGAGCTGTCTCTCCCACTGAAGGGTCCCCCAGAAAATGGAACTAGCAACCCCTTCTACCCCCACCCCAATCCCACCCTACTACACAAAGACACTCACGCCCCCATGATGATTCTTGAAATGGAAAGGGGAAGGAGGAGGCAGGCAGTTTGCATTAGACACAGTTTAATCACTTTCAAATAGATTAAAAGTTCTGATTTACACGTCCCCCTCCCCGTAAGTCATCCAGACAGGACCCTGGCTTAGAAAGAGAAAAACACAGGTGCTTTAGGAAATATAGCCACATATAATACATAAATCTTCTTCCCTGAAATAGAGCAGGTCCTGAGCAGAGCTGACTGGGGGGTGGGGGGGCGGTCACAGCCCGCACCCAGGGGTGAAGTGGCTCTGGGACTCTGCCGGTGGAAGTGCTGGAAGAGCGAGGCTGGCGGAAGCCCCTGGTGTGGTTATCAAGCCCGAGATGGGCCAAGGCCTTGGAGTGGGTCACTCGGGAGGGCAGCAGTGCTGGGCTTTCCCTCCTCACTCAGCTGAGGCCTACTGGAAGTACTAGCTGTCTTTTTTTACTTTTTCTTTTTTGAGGGAACATAGGAGAAGGAGAGGAGGGGAGGGGAAGGAAGGAGAGGAGAGGAGATCCTCTCTGTGCCTTGGTTTCCCCATTTGTGCATTCAGGGCCTCTGCAGGCCTCACACAGGGAGTCTGGGGGGTGTAGTGTTTAAGTGAGCACTCGGGCTTATTCTGAGGAGAGGAATCGCCAAAGTGCAGACTTTTATTACTGCCATTCCTGCTCCTAAAAGAGCAAGAGTCAGAAGGAAAACAAATTAAATGGGACTAGTGAGAAAGGAGGAGATAAGAGACAGAGAGTGCAAGGGGTGATGCCGTTGGCATCTCATGAATTCTTAATGAGAATGGCACGGGTATTAAAAAGTTTCCGGGTAATCTATAAGACATGTAAATTGTTATCTATACTGCAACTATTTACATATCTCTAATTGGAAAAGAGTGGGGCTTGGGGGTTAGAAAGTGGATGGGGGACAAAGGAGAAACTACATGAATAAATACAACAAGTGGAAGCTACCTGCCCCGTTCCTGAAAGGATTTGTGGGCAATGTTGGCACTTTGTAGCCAGGAGAATCCTCTAACCCCACTCTCCATCCTCTTCAATTATGAAGCCTCAAGAATCCAGTTAGGATTCCCTAGCCAGAGTTCTCTGTGATCACCTCTAGACTCTTGCCATGCAGCAGCTGGAGATGATCTGAGCCAGTCTCAAGAACCTTTAACCCCACAAATGGGCCAACCACACCAAGCAGGAGAGCTAAGATCTGGAGGGAAGAAAGGGGAGTCCAAGGAGACTCCATGGAAAACCAGTGCGGGGGCCCAAGAGACCCATTTGTCCAGTTACCAGAGGTTACTGACATCTTCTGTGACTGCCTTGAGTCCAGGGAAAAAAAAAATTTGCAGCAAGAAAATGCCAGTGTGCAATTGGCTGAATAAAGACCAAAGAAAAATAGCTTACTTGTTCTCTGTCTCAGGCTTATCTTCTCCCCTTAAATCTCTCACAGCCCTAATTAAACACAAACAAAAGTCTCTTCCTTAGATGGGCTACTTGTCAGCTTCAGCCACCTCCTGTGGTGGCTCTGGAGGTTCCGGGGGTGGCATCTCTTCAGGAGTGCTGTCCTCCGGCATCTCATTTGAGCTCAGATGTTCTGTTAGGGCCTAAGAAGGGAAAGATAACAAATTCAATACAAAGCCCATCCTTGCCCAGCCAGTGTAGCTCAGCGGTTGAGCATTGACCTATGAACCAGGAGGTCACGGTTTGATTCCTGGTCATGACACATGCCTGGGTTGTGGGCTCGATCCCCCATGTGGGGCGTGCAGGAGCAGCCAATCAGTGGCTCTCTCTCATCATTGATGTTTCTCTCTCTCTCTCCCTCTCTCGTCCTCTCTGAAATGAATAAAAATATATTTTTTAAAATAAGCTCATCTTCAAAATCCAAATGGAGATAATCAGTAGACACTGAGCTCTTCCTCTGAACCCATCAACCACACTGATGTTACAGATATGCAACCACCGGCACCGAACTCAGAACCAAGACCGTCTAGACTATCCTTGTCTTCTCAGCAGAGTACAACTGATGTTTCTTTGAATTCTATTCTTAACTGTTAGGAGAGATGCTTCCATTATTATTCATAATAATAATAATAGAGACCACAGATCGTTACAGAGGCCCCTCTCCTTCACAAGAAAATGTTATAACGTACTTGTATAATAAGACCTGACTCAGTGGGTCTCAATCTTGTTTCTTCCCTAACACTTGGCTCTCCAAAACAGTGATTCTAAACCAAAGAGTGTGGGGTGGCAACATTTTTAGATGATATATGTGGTCTGAAAATGCCCCCAGAGCGATTCTAAAATATCACCTTTCCCCACATTCAACTGAGAATTACTAATCTAAATTGTTAGGATTTAAGACCAGACTTATCAGAAACATTATATCCAAAATGATGATGATAATATATAAAAATGGGTTTGCTATAATTCAAAACAGAAACTTCAACATATAGGAAAACAAAGTAGAGAACAATTATCTACTTTACAGAAAGCATTCGCCTCACTGGACAGTGAGCTCCTTGAGAGCAGGGACATGGTTTGCCTTGTTCACTAATGTATCCTGCGTCTAGCACAGTAGAATGTCGAAGAAATGAGTAGATCCTAATCTATACCACATGGGCACAAAGATCTGAGGCAATGTCAGGGCAAAAGCAGAGACAGGGAAGCTGGGGCTATTGAACACAAAATTGCCTAACTGTATCTCTAAGGTGTAAATTTAGCTACACTCTCCATCACCAGCTTACCCTTAATGTCTTGAAGTCGGGAACACTTACTGGGCTCTGTGGCAACAGGCTACTACTGGTCTCTTGAGTGCTAGGAGGTCGACTTCCACTTTCCTCCAGTGGTAAAATACCTCTTCTATCCAGCACACTGAAGGAGACAGGACAGTTAATAAAGCACTTCCCATTCCCCCCTCCTGCCACCCACCCTCTGAACCTTGCTGTGTGGACTGGAAAACATAAACCTGCCCTTTGGCAGTCTAGCCTGATCCTAGCACATGCCTCCTATCTTCCACTCACTTTCTCTTCCACAACCAGGGCATAGTACATTAACCAGGGCAAGAAACAAATGAAATAAGAATGAAAGGTCATCTCTTTAAAATAATCATCCTGTGGTCTATGGTCCATGTAGATATGGCACCAAGGGACAATCCCTGGGAAGTCCTATTTGACACCAAAAGGTCACATTCAGAAGGAGGCATCATACCAGGCAACAGGAATGGCTTGAGTTGCTCAACCCAAGAGTCCCAGGACCTTCTAGTCCCCTGAGTACCTGGGGGGCAAGGGGCCACACAGCACTTCACAGCAGTTCTTCACAATGTTGCCATGGCTGTAGGGATTCTGGACTCGATTCTTCCCTGTCCATGAGCCTTTGATCTTCAAGATAAAAGCCAAGGCTTACATTAAAATTTATGTTGAAGAAATACATGTAGCATGGGAAGATGAAAAAGTTCTGGAGATGGGTAATAGTAATAGTTGCACAACAAGATGAATGTACTTAATGCCACTGAATTATACACTTAAAATAGTTAACATGGTACATGTTATATAATGAATATCTTACCACAATAGAAAAAAAAGAAATACAATGCATAGCCATGGGAAAATATCCACAATAGAGTGAAAAAAAAAGCAGATAACTAAACAATATGTATATATTTTCATTTAAAAATTCAAAATATATAGTCACAAAAAAAAACAGGAGCAAGTCTAGACAACTCTAGACTATAAATCATACCATTAACAGTGGTAATGTATAGAAGGTAAAGTTACAGGGACTTATTTGATATTTTTGTTCATCTGTATTTTCTGATTTTCTGCAATGAACATGGGTTAATTGGTAACTTTTAAAAAGCAAGGATTTATTCCGTGCACCTGTCCTTGTACATCCCTAATCCAGAAGCACCAATTAGTCTTTAAAGACCTATGAATAGCTAAAGACCTTGTACCTCCCCAACCATTCAACCTCCTCTTCTTAATTCTCTACAGGCATTCAGTTCCAAACAAAGCAGTCTGCTTTCTTCTCTACACTTCAGATTTAACAGTCTCCCACGCTAGGTTTCTGACTGCCTCAACCTCCCAGGCCCTGGAGACTCAGTTCTCTAGCAGGTAACAAGAGAATAGGCTTTAGAAAAAGAAGAATATGTGATGAGCCCTAGCCAGTTTGGCTCAGTGGATAGAGCATCGGCCTGCAGACTGAAGGGTCCCAGGTTGGATTCCAATCAAGGGCACATGCCCAGGTTGCAGGCTCGATACCCAGTGGAGGGGGCGGACATGCAGGAGGCAACCAATCAATGATTCTCTCTCATCATTGATGTTTCTATGTCTCTCTCCCTCTCCCTTCTTCTCTGAAATCAATAAATAAATATACATTAAAAAAAGAAGAATATGTAATGAGAAGATGGGAAGATTGACTCACGTCTTCATTGGTTGTCTGGTTGAGAGCCACAAGGAAAGTGTGAAATCCAGTTAGTCCCACGACGGACCAGAGTGTGAAGAAACAAATGAGTACTTCTAGAACAGTGAGGTGATGTTAAGGAATGTTGAAGCCACACCAGCAGACTCAATGCTTCACCCTTCTCATGGCACCAGTCTTTACCTCTCGGAACACGTCACAAATGGCCAAGTATCCAGACATAACAGATGAATTCTAAACTCGCTGGGTACATCCCTTATGACAGGTAAAGGACTCCTGTCTGTTCACTATGAGTAACTCTCTAATATCTCTAGCACATTTAGGTGTTCCTCTGTTTTTAGATCATTAGCTTTTTGAAGGGGATGTTTAGGAGGGGGCCAAAACTAAACAATGCTGGCCATCACTGCTAATGGAAAATCCATCCAAAAATAAAACTTTATAAATGAAAAATTGGTGGAAAAAAACAGGATGTGATTTATAGAAATCCCATCTGAATTTCCTTTTCAGAAATGCAACTGCTCTACAAAGTAAACATTAGCTGTAACAGGAAGGTGGACTTCCAGCAAGTGACATAAGAGATATATTGAGGCATAGATAGCCCACTCAGAGGCAGGGGTGAGTGTGTGATCAGAAGGAACTGAAAGGGAGGCAGTAGAGAAGGGGGTAAAGCAAACGCCACCCTTTAAGTCTTGGTCATCTTCCATTCTGATTGCTACCACTAAGACTACATTGTTTTCCAGAATTTGGCACTCTCTGTTGTCTGAAAAATGCGATGATGGGAGAACTGCAGAGAGAAAGCATGCTGGAAAGTAATTTAAAAAGGATTCACAGGGACATACTGCCAGGGGAGGATATGTTCCAGGAGTTTCTTTCAACGTCTCCAGGAAGCCAATTTTCAAGGATTCTATGAAATTGGGAGTAGTAGTAGAGAGAGAAAAAATTAGTGGCTTTAATTTTTAAAAAATGCACATTTATCCTAATACTGTACTTACTCACTTCCTCCTCCCTACCCCTTGTTACAAGCTGGCAAGAAATAAGCCCTCGCCCAGACAAGGGACTCACACCCCCAAGGAGGTAGTCTCCTGACCAAAGGGTTCACATCTCCAATGCAGGACCTGGAAATGGTCTAGAGAGTCGGGCAGAAGCCAAGCATCTGGCTCCCCTCCCTTTTCCTTAGCCCTCACTATGGGCATGGAGGGGGATATTCATTCATAGATAAAATAAATAAGAAACACCCCTAAAAATCCTCTCTCCTCACCAATCCGTGTCCTCCTTTGTTCAAAATCCATCTGAGAACTCATCCCTTCCCAGGAAGTTGTTTTGATTAAGACCACTCCTTTAATTCCACATCCCCTCTGCTCTTATTTGTTATCCGCTGATTTATGTGTGTGTATGTGTTTGTACACATGCACACACATAGGTGTGTATTTTCTATCTCCCAAAGTAAACCAGAAGCTACTAAAAGGCATTTCTCAGGTATAACCCCTTCTACCACGTGGCACAGGGCAGATATTATAAAGCAGAAGAAGAGAGGATGCCGACAGCCAAAATACATCCCCAACCTTTGGGATCACCTCAGAAATGCCCAGTACTCTGGGTACAAACCAGTTATTATGGCCATGGTCCCCAGCAGAGGCCAGTGAGAAGGCCAACTCACTCAGTAAATACTGATTGATGTGAGCTGAGGTTTGGAGCCCTACTCAAGAGCAGACAGTAGTGCTTATTTCTAGCTGGTCCTAAGGTGCCTTCACAATGGTAAAGTCCCACCAGGAAATGCAACCTCTCCCCTAAGCTGTCCTCAAGTCTTCTCCCATCCCACCCCCACTCCAACAACAGGCACTGCCCTGCATACTCACTGAGGGCCACATAGACGATATTGAAGGCGAAGACATAGATGGTGAGGAGGGAGAGAGAAAGGATGAAGAGGTAGAAGTAGCGGTAGTTCCTCTTTCCAACACAATTCCCCACCCAGGGGCAGTGATGGTCGAAGCGCTCTGTGGGAAAAAGAGAATCTAGTGTCAAAGCCTCCAAAACACAGTGCAACCCCACCATTCACATCTGAATAACTAATTCAAAGACCCACAGATCATTGCCTATTTCAATTGTAAAAAACTGGTTTCCATTTTTCACTTTTTCACAATGTTTTTTTTAAAATATATTTTATTGATTTTTTACAGAGAAGAAGGGAGAGGGATAGAGAGTTAGAAACATCGATGAGAGAGAAACATTGATTCAGCTATCTCTTGCACACTCCCCACAGGGAATGTGCCCGCAACCAAGGTACATGCCCTTGACCAGAATCGAACCTGGGACCCTTCAGTCCGCAGGCCGACGCTCTATCCACTGAGCCAAACCAGTTAGGGCTCACAATGTTTTCATAGCCATCTCATTTGATCCCCACAATCACCCTAGAACAGGGGTGGGCAACCTTTTTGTGAGTGCATGCCAAAACCAGCAAAATCTCTGACTCAAAATTCTTCTGCGTGCCAACCCTAATTTTTTGAGAACATGTTACGCCTACTTGATATCTCTTAAGGTGTACATATGTGAAGAACCTTGAAGAAATAATAAAATTCATTCGAGCGACAAAAACTCAGTATATGATGATGAAAAATACATTTATTTTTTAATGTATACATGTACACTGATAGTCCGACAGAAAACTTTATGACTCCATTTGATATTATCAGTGGGACTTTGCTGCCAAGAGAAACATGGAAATTTATTCCCCTTTCGTTAGTACTGGTGGGCAAAGCGAGAGAGAAGGTTTCATTTTTATAGAGTGAAATTTTAAATAAGTAGGTGAGGCGGTTGTCTTGTCAATGAAAACCCGTTGCGTCTGAGGCTGAAACCAAAACACTGGTCGGATCTAGGAAGGCAGGGAGAGTTAAGGCAGAGGCATAGAAATTGCTCTTCCCCTCTCTCATCAATCCATGTCTATGGTCTTTAAGATAACTTGTTATGTAAAATTATTTATTTATCTAAGATGCACCTACACTGAATTTATCTGAAAAATAAAAAAGTCGATATTAAGAAAAAAATTGTAAATGGAAGATTATAAGAAAAGGTTTCGTGTGCCAGCAAAAGTTACTGGCGTGCCATGTTTGGCACGCGTGCCAGGGGTTGCCCACCCCTGCCCTAGAAGTTGAGCAAAAGAAGATATTCTTTTCCCCATTTTACTGCAGAGGAAACTAAGGAACTGAGGGGTTAAGTCCCACTGCCAGTTAACAGCAGAGACTTTGCTTTTCCAAAGAAAAATCTTAGTAGGTGGGCCTACTAAGTTAGGAAGAATAAATAGCCAAGCAATTTTTGAAAAATGAGTAGTGTGGTTTTTCTTAACCTCCAGTTAGTAAAAGACTATAAAATTATAATACTTAAAATGGTGTGGCATAGCCAGAAACAGACTCTAGAATGTGTAAGAATTTACTGTCTAATAAAAGCAGCATTACAAAATCAGTGGTGAAAGGAAGTACTTTTCCATAAACAACACTGAGACAATTGGCTATTTGGTGGAAAACTTAAAATTTTCCCCTTCACACTATTTATCAAAATGAATTCCAGATGAATTAAAGAGTTAAATGTAAAAACAAAGTGACCTCAGCAACGTCCCATGCACCAAGAAGTCATCAGTAAGATTGCCAGTCAGGTCACATGCCTGAGTTGCGGGCTCAATCCTCAGTGTGGGGCTTGCAGGAGACAGCCAGTCAGTGATTCTCTCTCATATCGTGTTTCTCTCCTCTTTCCCCCTTTCCCTTCCTCTCTCTCTCTAAAATCAATAAAAAACATATTTTTTAAAAAATTACATTTAAAAAAGATGGTGACCACCTGTAAGACAGATAGGGAAACCTCACCAGAAATCAACCCTGCCAATACCTTGATCTTGGACTTCTAAATGTCAGAATTAATTTCTGTTATTTAAGTCACCCAGCCTGTGTATTTTGTTATGGCAGCCCAAGCAGACTAATGCAAGTATATACCCAAGAGTGGAATTGCTGGACCATATCTTAACTTTTTGAGGAACTGGCAAACTTTTCCACAGTGGCTGAACCATTTTACATTCCCACCAAAAATGTATGAAGGTTCTAACTGTACCATATCTGTATATTAAATAATTTTGATTACAATATTACAATAATGAATAAAATGGAATCATGAATAATATCTAATGATAGGAAACTGCCTTAAAAAACTAGACTATAGCCATGTGATGGATTATATACAGTCATTAAACTAAAATATTCAAAAGACATGTACTAAAGATGTAAAAAATGCTTAAGATATAATGTTAAATGACAAAGGTAGGAATAAAAACTCAATCATGTGTGATCTAATTTCACAAACAAGAGTGAGGCTGGAAAGAAATACAGCAACTGTAAATTGTATAATTTAAAAAAAAAAAAAGAAATACAGCAAAATGGTGAGTGAGTTTGGGATTAGATTTTATTTACACTTTCTGTACTCCCTGTATTTTCTACAATGAACATGTATTATTTAATGAACCAAAAAGGCACAAAGAATAATGCATATCATTTTTAAAGGACAATGAACTGTATACTGACAAAAATAATAAGACTGTAAGAATGATCCCTCTCCCAGTTAAAGGGCTACAATATATCTTTTCAGAAAAGAGAAGGAAAATGTAGAAAAGAAGGACATGTTCAAGTCTTACTCTAAACCAGCGGTTCTCAACCTGTGGGTCGCGACCCCTTTGGCAGTCGAATGACCCTTTCACAGGGGTCGCCTAAGACCATCCTACATATCATTACGATTCATAACAGTAGCAACATTACAGTTACGAAGTAGCAACAAAAATAATTTTATGGTTGGGTCACAACATGAGGAACTGTATTTAAAGGGCCAGAAGGTTGAGAACCACTGCAGTCTAAACAAACCTATCATATAAAAACACTGGAAATGCAGGTTTATACAGATATATTTTTACTGTACTTTAAATCACTTTTTTTTCTTATAATATAAGCAATACAAGGAAACATCATCACTCATAATCCCACAACCTATAGATAACAAACTAAGAGCATTCTGGAGTATTTCCTTTCATCTCTCTTTACACATATTCATATTTTTTAAATGTCTAACTGATACATATAGCCTGTCTTCTGTTTTATTTCATTTCACTTTCTGGCATAAGGTTTTCCCATAAAAGTCCCCTATATGAATGTTCCACAATTTATTCAACCATTTAACTACTGGTTATTTACTGGTTGAAAATTCAAATTTTCATTATTATATTAATCCTGAGGTACATATTTCCACACCTAAATCTTTTACCACATTCTTGATTATTTTCTTAGGAATTTCTAGAAAGGTAATCATTGACATCAAAGGGTATAAATGTTTTAAGGTTTTTATCAATCTTATTAGGTTGCTTTCCAAAAAGTTTGTTCCAATTTACACTCCTATGAATGCAGCACTAAGCATTATCAGGTTTTCCTTGCTTATTATCTAGATTTTAAAAGGTCCTGCTTTAATTTTTATTTCTTTGATATTTAGTAGGGATAATTTTTTTTCATGTTAACTAGCTAATTGTATCTTTTGTTTTGTAAACTGTCCATATTTCTACTGAAATGTTAGTGGTTCTTTTTTAAAAATCAATTTGTGCCCTGGACTGTTTGTTCAGTGGTTAGAGCATCAGCACACATTCCGAATGGTCTCGGGTTTGATCCCTGGTCAAGGGCACATACCTCAGTTGCAGGTTTGATCCCCAGTCCCGGTCAGCATGTGCAGGAGGCAATCAATCGATGTGTCACTCTCACATCGATGTTTCTCTCTCTCTCCCTTCCACTATCTCTAAAAATATCAATGGAAAAAATATCCTCAGATGAGGATTTTAAAAAATCAATTTGTATGTGTTCTTTATATTTAAGAATATTACCCTGACCAGTTTGGCTCAGTAGATAGAGCGTCGGCCTGTGGACTAAAGGGTCCCAGGTTCGATTCCGGTAAAGGGCATGTTCCTTGGTTGCGGGCACATCCCCAGTGGGGGGTGTGCAGGAGGCAGCTGATCAGTGTTTCTCTCTCATTGATGATTCTAACTCTCTATCCCTCTCCCTTCCTCTCTGTAAAAAATCAATAAAATATATTTTTTAAAAAAATAATATTAATAAGGAGAGGGAATTCTTTATGAAAACCTTCACATCAGACATTCATGAAACATTAAGTTTCCTGGCCCATTTAAAATGGGTTTCAATTTGCTTGGCCAGTGTGGCTCAGTGGTTGAGCCTCAACCTATGAACCAGGAAGTCATGGTTTGATTCCTGGTCAAGGTACAGGACCAAATTTCAGCTTGATGTCCAGTGTGGAGTGTGCCAACTGATGATTCTCATAATTGATGTTTCTATCTCTCCCTCTCCCTTCCTTTCTGAAATCAATAAAAATATATATTTAAAAATAATAAATAAAATAAAATAGGTTTAAATTTCTAAAAATCCTACCTACATGTAGCTTTTTACCCTATAAAGTAAGATATATTTTCAAGCTTTGTCTAAAGAACTGGCTAATAAGAAGAAAACAATGTACCCAGGCCTATTCTATGGCATATATAAAGAACACGGGAAGTAAGCCTAGTAATAATATAAGGAATTGATCATATATGCCTATTGATAGACACATTTACTGATTGTTTCTGATCTTTCCAGGGCTCAGTACACAGTAGGCAGTGATTACAACTAAACCACATACATGTGGCTAAAAGCACAGATACATTATCCACACACATACACCCAAAGCCCTTGTAACAGCAGCAGAGAAAGAAAAAATGAGAGTTTGGGAATCATACCTGTTCCAGCTTCATCTCTTACTAATTATATGAACCCACATAAAGGTGCTTCACCTATTTCCTCATCTGTAAAATGGGGATAATACCTATCTCCTGGGATTCTTACAAGCCTTAAATGAGAGAAAGGGAAAACACTTCACATAGTGCCTCGTTACTAGGGCCTAGTATATAGTAGGAACTCAATAAATGCTAACAACTTTCTTCTTGGGAATACTACTTCTTACAAAGTCCTTCCTTCCCCAATGCTGCCCTCCAGTAGACTCTCCTCGACCCCTATGCAAGGTGGGTTCCACTTGAAACAGATCCAGTAAAGAAAATATAGATTTGAAAAACAGGTCATTTGCCTTAGCCGGTTTGGCTCAGTGGATAGAGTGTCGGCCCAAGACTGAAGGGTCCCGGGTTGGATTACGGTCAAAGGCGTGTACCTCGGTTGCAGGCTCAATCCTCAGCACGTTCAGGGCATGTGTGGAAGCCAACCAATTGATGTGTCTTTCTCACATCAATGTTTCTCTCTCCCTGTCTCTCCCCATCCCTTCCACTCTGTCTAAAAATCAATGGAAAAAATATCCTTGGGTGAGGATTAATAAAACAAAAACCCAACAGGTCATTTATTTCCCCATTTACCAAAAAGGTTGTTTTGTTTTGTTTTTTAGACTGGCAGATATTTAAATTCCAATTTGATCTACAGAAGTACAGTTGATTTACAGTTGTTCAGATGCTTGTTTCCTGTCTAATTCTAGCTTTCCCATCTACCCCTACTAATTTTTTCAAGAAAAAATTACCCTGACCCTCTTCTTCAACTCAACCTTTCCCCCCGGACAATGCCCTAATGATTTTACTCACCCACACAGTTGTCACAGATGCTGCAATGGGAGGCCCGGGGAGGCCGGAAGATCTTGCACGTATAACAGTATTTCAGCTTTACAATCTGGTTGTTAATCTGGAAATTCTTGATACGAGGGGGTGGTCGTTGGCCCTGGGGCACCGCACCATTGGTAGCTTCTGTAGATCAGTAAAGACTGTTAACATCACTGCCAGCCATTGTTTGAACCCAAAGGTCTCACCAGTTGTCTAAAAGCAATGGGAGTATTCAAAGGTTCCTTAGGCCCACTGTCTTCTTCATACTAACATTTCCAGAGTAGACTCTCAACATCAGATTCCACTGAGTGCCATGCAATTCTTTTGTGTGCATGTGGAAAATTGTGTTTTCAAGTTTTTGGCTGATTACAAAGAAAAATATTCATAAAAGAAGAAACAAAATGGCTAAAAACAGGAAATGAAAACATCCAACTTCGCTCATAATCAAAGAAATAAGAATTAATACAAAGATACCACTTCCACCTACTATATTAACACATATTTAAAAGGATAAAAATACCTAGTGAGCCCTAGCTGGTTTGGCTCAATGGATAGAGCATCGGCCTGTGGACTGGGCACCAGGTTCAATTCCAGTTAACCTGGCACATGCCTGGGTTGCAGCCTTAATCCCCAGTGTGGGGTGTGCAGGAGGCAGCCAATCAATGATTCTCATCATTGATATTTCTATCGCCCACTCCCTCTCCCTTCCTCTCTGAAATCAATAAAAATATATATATTTTTAAAATGCCTAGTGATGCCCTGGCCGATTTCTAAGTTCTGCGAGTGTCCACCGTCACACTGAAGTGTCATGGGTTTGATTCCTAGTCAAGGGCATGTACCTGAATTGCAGGTTCGATTCCCAGACCCCTCAGAGCACGTGCAGGAGGCAACCAATTGATGTGTTTCTCTCACATCAATGTTTGTCGCTCTCTCTCTTTCTCTCCCCGCTCTCTCTCCCTAAAAATCAATGGAAAAATATCCTTGGGTGAGGATTAAAAAATACTTAGTGTTGGCAAGGATGGGGAAAAGGTATTTTTATACATTACCAGTAAATAATGTAGCAGTGGCTATCAAAATTTTAAATGTGTTTACTTTTTGACCCAGGAATTCTACTTCTAGGAACTTACCAAAATTACAAAGAGTTGTATAAAAGATATTGACATAAGGATATTTGTCATGGAGTCCCTTTTATAGTGAAAATCTGAAATAACTTCAATGTCATAATAGGAGGTTGGTTAAGTAAATTATGATACATGCATGGGATGGAATATTATGTAGCCTTTTAAAATAGTGTAGACAAGCGAATGATGACAGGAAAAGATTCACAATATCTTGCAAAAATAAAATATATGCAGGAAAAAAGGCTAATACTTAGAAAAACAATTATTTTAAAATAAGAGTAATACATGTTTATTGTAAAAATTTTGGAAAAATAGAAAATATAAAAAAAATAAAGATATTTTTTCAGCTCAAGGATATGCATGCATTTTAGTGTATTTCCCTTTATCTTCCCTTAACAGATAAACATTTATGATTTTTTTAAAATTTGAGATCATGTTATAAATGCAATGTTAGACCCTGTGTTTTTCACTTAAGATTATACAATAAACATTTTTCTATTATTATTTTTTTCTGAAAACATTATTATTGGCAATATAATATTCCATCATATGCATGTACTATTATTTATTTACTCATTCCATATTGTTGGGCATTTAAGTTGCCTCTGGTTTTTTACTATTTAAATTCTGCTGCATGCAAATAGATGTGTATTTCAGAGGGAAGGGGAGAGGAGGGTGGGAAGAGATGAACCAAAGAACTTATATGCATATATGCATCACCCATGGACACAGACAATAGTGCGATGAAGGCCTGGGAAGGGGACTGGAGTGGGGCAGGGGGGAAGAAGGGGCAAGATGGGGTCAATGGGGGGGGGAAGGGGGACATCTGTAATACTTTCAACAATAAAGATAAATTTAAAAAAATTATGCTACATTCAAAGTTATAATATTACAAATAAAGCTAAATCCCCTTGAACACCACACTCTGATCCCAACCCCCTCCATCCTTCCTCAAGAATACATTCATGTGTTAAAATTAATTTCTAAAACATAAAGAAAAAAGAAAAGCATGTTGAAGTCTGAGCAGTAATATATGAAGTTGCCAGCATTAAAATAGCTAGTGCCATATTAAGATGAAAAAGAAAAAAAGAAAAAGAAAAATGATGCACTAAAAATCCTTCTACAGTAATTTGTGCAAATCTGTCTATTTCCTTTAGCTAAACCCGGACAGAAGTGAAGTTACTGGGTCAAAGGGTATGAACCCTTAAAGCCCATATTACTATTGCCAAACTGCTTCCCAAATTGATAGATTTGCACGCCGCCCATCTGCAGCATATGAGAGTGCCTGTCTTATTGCACTCTCCCTATGTAGGGTAATTCTAAAAACATAATATTTTTTAATTCATTTTGATTTTAAAAATATCTGCCATATGGAACATTTTTCCCTTTTTTGCAGAGTGGGGTGGATGCTGTGAAATCAAACAATAACAGTGTTTCACAAGTCTTACAAGGATGGGGATGGCTGTTCATTAGAGGATATGAGTACCAGCATGGCACCTGCCACCTTAATATTCCTTTGTATGTGCTTTACATGAAGGCACCTGGAAGACAGAGTTCATGGTTCATCCTCCCTATGAAGTGCTATGATGCAAGGAAATCACCCGCCTTCTTCTCTCGTTTCTCCTCACCCATAGCATATCCAGTACAGTAAGTTCTCACTTAGCATCTTCAATAGGTTCTGTGACTTTAAATGAAATGACATATAATGAAACCAATTTTACCATAGGCTAATTAATATAAACAGGAGTTAAGTTCCTACGGTATCTCATCCATGTTATAATGAAACTATGTTATTCAAGGACCTGCTGTACAGGGCTGAAAACTGAATGTAAGTTGACAAAAACTTGTTAGCATAAAAATAAACATATGCATGGGTATGAACTCAAGAATGCACTCTTCTATCAAGAGAAGCATGTTAAATGCAGAGGTCACAAATATGATGTCTCGTGCTTGGCCCCCAAACCCAGTGATCTGGCAAAACAGAGCTAACCTTGCTAAGGAACCTGTTGTGACATGCACAAAGACAAGTCAATTAATAATTTTTTTAGCCCGGCCAGCATGGCTCAGGGGTGGAGGGTCAACCTTTGAACCAGGAGATCATAGTCTGATTCCCAGTTGGGACACATGCCCAGGTTGCGGGCTCAATTCCCAGTGTGGGGCATGCAGGAGGCAGCAGATCAATGATTCTCTCTCATCATTAATGTTTCTATCTCTCTTTTCCTCTCCCTTCATCTCTGAAATTATATATATATACATATACATATATATATATAATTATTAATGGACATAAAATTCTATCTGAAAATATAAAAGACACTATTTTTTGGATAAGCAGATCCTATAAAAATGTAAATTGTCGCCCTACCCCAGGGTGGGCAAACTTTTTGACTCGAGGGCCACAATGGGTTCTTAAACTGGACCGGAGGGCCGGAACAAAAGCATGGATGGAGTGTTTGTGTGAACTAATATAAATTCAAAGTAAACATCATTACATAAAAGGGTATGGTCTTTTTTTTTTTTTTTTTTAGTTTTATTCATTTCAAACGGGCCGGATCTGGCCCGCGGGCCGTAGTTTGCCCACGGCTGTCCTAGCCAGTTTGTCTCAGTGGAAAGAGCCTGCGGACTGAAGGGTTCCAGGTTCGATTCCAATCAAGGGCACATGCCCAGGTTATGGGCTCCATCCCCAGTAGGGGGCGTGCAGGAAGCAGCCGATCAATGATTCTCTCATCATTGATATTTCCATCTCTCTCTCCCTCTCCCTCCCCCTCTTCAAAATCAATACAAATATATTTTTAATGTAAATTCTCTCAAAAATAATACATAACTGTAGCCCTAACAGGTTTGGCTCAGTGGATGGAGCATCAGCCTATGGACTGAAGGGTCCCGGGTTCAATTCAGTCAAGGGCACATGCCCAAGTTGCGACCTCAATCACTGGTAGCAGGCGTGCAGGAGGAGCCGATCAATGATTCTCTCTCATCACTGATATTTCTATCTCTCACTCTCTCCCTTCCTCTCTGAAATCAATAAAAATAAATAAATAAATAAATAAACAAACAAATAAATGTAATACCTATTAGAACCCCGACAGGTTTGTGTTTTGAATTAAATAAAATAATGTTAAAATTAAAAAAACACACACAAGCAAACACACACCCTAAAAGAACGAAAGGCTAATCACAGACTGGTGCTCAACTGATGTAGCTTTTAGTCTTTTAAGTCCTGGGTCCCTTTCTTCTACTCTATTTGGCTTGTATGCTGACTCAAGCTACTTGGGTACTGGAATTGAGAACAATTTAGGCAGGCACTGCTGTTGGGTCTGGTGGGCTCCCAGTTCCTGCTAGTACTGGCATCGTGGCCTTCTTTCCCAGTGTGAGTTCCCAGAATATCTATCCTCTCTAGCCCTGGGATGTCCTGCTTCAATTCCTGAAGCCACCCTGGCTCCTAGGTAGTGTAATACTCTATCTCTATCCCAGAGAGTCCTACCCTTAGCTGCAGACTGCTCTGTAATGAAACTGTAACTGCTTCCTTATCATTTCTAGAATTCTCAATGGTTCCTGGCACCATAGTTGACCCCTCTCACCTTGTGTGTTCTCCTAAAGCAGGAATTCTTGGTCATGGACCCATGAATGTGCTTCAAAAGTTCTATGAATCCTTGAAATTACATACAAAATTGTATGTATGTGCATGTATGTAAGGATATTTTTACTAAGAGAAGGTTTATAGCTTTCATGAAAAAATCAAATGAGTTGATGATGCCCAAAGAGTAAAAAATAAATAAATAACCATCCTCTTGGGAACAGTGTAGCAGACCTTGGTAACAAATCCCTCCCGAAAAGCAACCCAACACAAGAATAAAAAAGGAAGCATGACTTTCAAACCTTGCTTCAGCTGCCTTAGCAAATGTACAGGGTGGGCATGGTCTCAGATTCAGGATCTCAGAGGGAAAAGCCTAGAAATGATTGTTAATCTGCAACCACTATTCTGATGCCATTCCCTTACTAATTAAAGCACAGCATCTTGCCAGCTGGTTAGAAAACCCACCTATCTCCATTTCTATGAAAGCTGCTTCATCTGGTAGGGCTCGAGGGATCACTCCAGGGTCACTGAAGCTGGTCCTCAACAGTGTAGCCATGGAGAAAAGGAAGAGCATGGCAGCAAACACAGGGATGGCAGGAGATAGCTGGACAGCCAAGTAACGGCATCTGGAGAAAGCACGCAATTGAACATTTAGTTATACCTAATCCTATGTGGACCACGAATTGTTACCAGTATGTCAACAAAACAAGCAATACCTTGAGGGCAGGGACCACGCTTTTTACTTCACTTGAAACACCCAAAACTCCTAACAGTGGTTCCATACATAACGGGAGCTCAACAAATACTTAACTGATTGATGCCATCTATAACATACAGAAGACAGTCTCAAGGGACCTCTCCTACCCCCCAAGCCCAGGCCCTCCTTGTCAGCCTGCTGGGAGTCACATTTCCTCTGTGCCTTAGGAAAGGCTCACAACTGTTAAGATCAGGGAAGCCACCGAGCCTGGACCTGCAAGCATCACAGGTTGCTCTCACTCTGGGAATGTCTTGAGCTTTTCCTATGCACCCATATGGCATTAGGCCTGAACTCCAGGAGGAGGATGAAAGATCAGGACTAGTCATGAAGAAAGGTCCAAGTGTCAGACAAAGAGCATGTTCAGCATGCTTCAAGGCCAATAAAAAGCTTCAGCATGGCTCGGTGGTTGAGCATCAACTTGTGAACCAGGAGGTCATGGTTCAATTCCTGATCAGGGCACGTGCCCAGGTTGTGGGCCCGATCCCCAGTGTGGGGCATGCAGGAGGCAGCCAATCAATGATTCTCTCCTATCATTGATGTTTCAATTTCTCTCTCCCTTTCCCTTCCTCTCTGAAATCAATGAAAATATTTTTTTAAAGCTTCAGGGCTGCTGACTGACTTTGCAACATCCATTCCTCTTCTCTCTTCAATTAGCTCAGCTAGTAGGTAACTAGTGACCATATAAGGAAATAAGAAAATTGTTTCTCCTGAGCACCCCTTCCCAACATCATGTTTGTTCCCCACTTTCTTCATAATTCACCTAGAAGGCCATACCTCTTCCTCTCTGGATATCTCAACCCTACTCATCTGTCAGGTCCCAGAGACATCAATGCCATCATTGTCATCATCACAATCAAAATTTACTGAGCACTCACCATATGCCAGGCACAGCACTAAGCTCTTTATATGCATGATATCATCCAATTCTCACACTAAATCTATGAGGTAGAGTCCATTATACCCATTTGATAAATGAAGAATCTGGGATATAAAAAGATCTTGTCTCCTCCAAAAGGCTTAACCTAAGCTGCACTAATCTGTCCACGTCATCCTCACTGCCAGAGCCTTGTATTGTTTTCTGTTTTTTACTATGTTGACCTCATCTCCCCCAACTGGACTTCATAGGAGCAAGAATCTTCTCCTTTTGGAACAGGAATGCTTGGGTTTGAATTCTGGCTCTACCAGGTCCTAGCTGGGTGTCTTAGTTTCTTTCAGTCTCTTTATCTGTGAAATGAAGATAATAATAGAACTTCATGGGGTCATTGTGTGGATCAGATGTATGAATATAAATAAAGTGCTTAGAACTGCACTTGACACACAGTAAATGCTAAGTAAATGCCAGCTATTAACATTATCATCACAGTTCTATATCTCCCAGAGCCTAATCCAAGTATGTGAATAAAGAAGCTATCAACAAATACTTGTTGAGTCAAAGTAAATTTCCAACCAAATAAATGGGAATGTGTGATGAGAGTTACCACTGACCTATTTTTATTCTCCTCCTCCTGGCACATTTTCTCCTTCAACACAGAGATCTTCTCTTGGAGGCAGACTATAACTGAATAAGCAAGGGCCAGAGGGAGAGTGGAGAAAGTAAGCTAAGGAAAAAGGCTTACTTCATTGGCATGGGGATCAAGTAAGCTGCTGTCCACTCTAAATGTTTAACCCCGGGTTGTACATTCACCGCAGTTTTGGAACAGTCCCCAGGAGATCCTCCCTGCTTTCTTGCCGTACACATGACTCCATGGGTGTGCAAGCCAACTATACTATAGGCTGAGCTGTTTGTCATGAAGCTGAACACATATAGTGAACTTTCAAAATGATTTTTGTGGCTTTTTGTATGCTTGCCTGCTTATGTGTTTTTTTAAGAAAATCCTTGGTCATAGTTTGCTATTGTATGGTTGACTTCCTTCTCCTAAAGGCCAAGGGTAGGGGAAAATGTTGAGAGAAATGAAGGATATGGCTAACTGAGTTCAGGGTAATTAAGTACCCTCGTCTTCATTGTTCCCCTTCACTATCACAGATAATCAAGAAGTAAATTCAGAAATGAAAGTCCCCTCTACTTATCAGGGACCCAAAGGCCACAGTAAAAACACAAGACTCCAGTTCATGAACAAGCCAAGTGAAATCACCACGCTAACAGAAATCAGCCATCTTCCTAAGATCATTATTGAAAACAAAGAAGTAATGTCTCCAGGACTCGCACTGCCTTGGTGTACAGTCTCCAATCAAAAGCCTTAGAAAAATCAGAGCCATCTCATTGGACACCAAAGGGAATGTAAATTGCTTTATTATAAGGAAAAAATATGGAGAGAGTAGAACAAACACACATATACAGCTACACACACACATGCACGCACACACAAATTAATGTTGCATCCATGCACAGAAGGACTCGCCCAAGCTGAACTAAGTCCCCTTCCAACACCTGCTTGTCAATCAGACAAAGAACAACTTAGATTTGAATTACACTACACCATCACAGATAAAGGTCTCTGTAATCTCCACACAGCCTATCTTCTGCACCTGCTAAAACAATCCACTCTGTATGTCAACAAGTACACAACAGGCCCATTGTATTGTTCTCCAGAGATGAGGCTACTGGCAGCCCGTTGTCACTAGTGAGTGGGTGTGGCTGGGAAGGCAGATGTGGGACTAGCAGGCCTTTCTACTCTGAGTAAGGGGAAGCTTAGAGAGCCAGCAGCTAAGAATCTTGTGAACTACAACCCATCGGGCCTGTCTTTAATAGTTATGATACAAAATATCCCCCCGGTTAGTCCCATCATTGCAGTAAACTGGAGGTCTGTCTCTGACAGGAATAAGCTATGGGAAGATTTGGGAGTAATTCCCAATATCAATCTCAAAAGTCAAGAGTATCCTCATATATCGCTAATTTATCTTAATGAAAGACTGGATCTGTCATTCACATAAGCTAACTGTTTTTAAAACTCCCTAATAGTTTCCATTAATATTGTATCTTGGAATAATGATATCCATACACTCCTGCAAACAGAACTCCCCTTTGTCTTCAAAATACCAAGAGGCCTTCCCCTTCCCAGGGGGTTGGAAGTTGCTTTTCTCCCTTGTAAATTTCATATATACAACCCTGTCCCCACTAAGTCTTCATTTCTGCCACCTGAAGAGGCATCGTCATGATAGGTCCCCCTCTAACAAATTCTTAACTGGCCTCAGGCTTCCATAGCTGGTTTAGATGACTGGACTCTGACATGTCCCACAGACCACATGGTGGTACTGACCAGCAATAGCCAGCAGTGCCAGGCTGGGCTGGTGTGTCATGTACCATCCCCCATTCCTAGCATGCTAGTTCATTGGAAGGACAATGATAATGACACAGACTTCAATTCATTTGAGAAAACTCAAAAGAGGTTCATGAGTGGAGCTAGTAAAAAACCAGACAGATTCCATGGCAGGGCTCTGCCTTACAGACTAGTAATGTGGACTGATTATCTATATAATACTCTGCTTCCAAGTCTGCCCAATAACTTTCTTGCTATGCTTTTTGTTGTTGTTCTTTGATCAGTACACTCAGTCAACCAACAAGTTTTTATGGGTCTAACAAATTAAGAACAAGAGAAATAGGAGTTAATTTTGTTGGAGAAAACATAACTAACATATGAAACAGCTAAAGAATAAGATAAGACCAATGATGACGTGTTAAGAATAGCTGCTTGAAACTGCTCCCATAACAGCTGTTAAGGGTGGCTTTAAGGAAGAGCTGTGCTGGCAACAGCAGGAAGCACTCAAAGATTAGAGAGAGTCCCACAATGGCCCTTGGTCCCACCTAATAGAAATAAGCCTTTGGTATAAGCTTCTCTGATATGGATGGATGGCTGTCCTCTTAAACACAATAAACATGTAGAAACACCCATAAGACTGGTTCAAGTTTCTTCTGATGACAGAGTCTACTGAGAGGAAAAAGTTTCCTTAGACACTAAAAACACAATTTAAAACCAGCCTCTAGATTTACTGCTATGTAAAAGTCAGAGGAAAATGCATAACACTGTTTTGCTCCAGTAGCAATGGTGAAAATGAACCGAACAGGGACATTTTCTTTCTTTTCTTTTTTCTCTTCTTTTCTTTTTCCTTCTCTTTCTTCCTTTTAAATCCTCTAGGATATTTTTCTGTTGATTTGTAGAGAGAATGGAAGAGAGAGGGAAAGACAGAGAGAAATATCGATGTGAGAGAAACACATCGATTGGTTGCCTCCTACACACCCCTGACCAGGGCCAGGGCCTGGGAGAAGCCTGCAAACAAGGTACATACCCGTGACCAGAATCAAATCCGGGACCCTTAAATCTGCAGGCAGACGTTCTGTCCACTGAGCCAAACCAGCTAGGGCAACATTTTCATTTTTAAGATAATGAACCAACCTCTAACTTAAGGAGGACCAAAGTTTCTATCCAAACCTGCTAAGAAGTTGCCAAATTTCAGTTATAAAAAATTCCACATTTCAATTATAACAAATTTTAAATATAACACATAACAAAATTCAATTATAACATACTCCTGCTCAAGAACTTAGAACAATTTCCTGCTGCCTATTACATTAAGCCCCAAACTCCACAGGCCAGTATTCCGAGACCCTTCATCAACTAGCCTTATCTAATCACCATTATGAGGTACTTGTCTTCTCACTGCTCCATTCTAGAAGTATCCCGCTAATTACCCTGAATTCACTAGCTTCTTGCAAGAAACATAAGGTGCCTCCTTAAGCACAATACTTTTGAGGAGAAAGATTTAGGAGGTCTTCTCTCTCCCTCAATAAGCACCTCAACCGATGTCAGCATCATGGGGGACATCCCTGTGCTTTGTGCTTGCTTTCCCCAAAACAGAAGTTCACTACACTCA